AACCAAATTAAGATGGAACATGAGGATTATAAAATACCTTATTTAATAAATTGTTTAAAAGAAGTTGTTGGAGGTACTGAATATATAAAAAGTGATTTAAAAACAAAATTTGGCGAATTTGTTGGTAAAATAACTTATGAATATTGAACACTAATAACAATGATCTTTAGGTTTAAACTTTTAAATTTTATTATTTCAGATTATGTTGTTGTCATACAACCGGATGGCTCTTTTATGAATACTAGTAGTTATGATAATATTACATTTGTTGAAGAACTAGTATCCTTATCAGAATGTAGCAAGTAAGAAATAATATTAAAGCAACTTAATATTTAATCTATTAATAAAAATAATAATGTTATTTAAACATCTACAATTTATGTGATACTTATTTTGTTACAGAATTCTTTTTTTTGCTTTTCCAATAGAGGCATATTCTATTAACAAAAGGAATTTATTATCTACAGTAAAAATACAATTAAAAGCAATAGAAACATTGCCAGGATTCCATTCCTTTGTTATAAATCCATATTCGTGGACAAAGTTTTCCAACAAAGAAAGATTATTACATATTCAGAACATCATAAAATTGAAGCAGTAAAATTAAAAATGATAGTAATTCATAAATTGTGTGTAAAAAAAAATAAAAACTCAAATATTTAAAAAATAAGAAACAAACAATCATTTTTTATACTTCATAGTGATATTTTTTAACTTTAAATGAATATTTTAAAATATATTTATTTTAGTAATATATTGACGCAAATTATTTTTAACAAAAATAAAAAATGTTATTAATGTTATTAAAATTGGGATTTTTTTTTTAAATTTAGAAAAATCTTAACAATGAATTTTTCATTTATGTAACAATTTATTTATATGAAAATATTTATAACATCAACGATTAAAATGTATGATTTCAGATTCTATATATTTCATATATATTTCTACAAAATTTTTATTATATTGTAGGTAAAATATTTTATATGCTGTTAATTTTAATGCATTGATGAATATTTTTGCATAAAAATAATATAAATATAAGTAATATATATTTTGAAGACATTAATCATTAAGATACAAATAAAATTTTATGATATACTT